TAGTATTTCCAACCTACTAGGAGCACAACGATGTTTAGTATTTCCAACCTACTAGGAGCACAACGATGTTTAGTATTTCCAACCTACTAGGAGCACAACGATGTTTAGTATTTCCAACCTACTAGGAGCACAACGATGTTTAGTAGGATTAAAAGCTTAAAAACATTATCTTCATGGACACTCAATAGTATTATCAAACAATGACAAAGAAAGTTATTAAAGATGTAATTTTGTCTGGGTAAGAAGGCTGGGCTTAAAAAAAGTACATTATTACACTAAAACTTCTTGAACTTTAAGAAAAAAGAATTGAAAGCCTATATTTTTTTTAACTCAGTATAATGAGGTGGCTGGTATCCGATTGGCGTATAAATGGTACTGTTTAAATCAGACATGGCACTTTTGTTGAATGGATTCATTTGATGTTTTTAGCTTTGGGGCTGTGTCCTGTACTGATGGATGGGTCTGCTTGAAAAATCCAATCATAGGAAATTCACTGCAAGTATGATTTCAAAGGAATTGAGTCTTTGCCACAAAATTTTCTAATCCCTATATCTTTGCAATGCAATGGTGTAAAGATTTGATATTTCAAGATTTATTATTTTTAGCTCACTGAATTCATAGTTTGAAATATCTAAGGTCTACCACTTTGGGTTGCAAAAATTAAAAGATTTTAAAATCAGAGTTTGTGGCAAAGACTCAATTCCTTTATGTTCTTTTCAAAATTACTTATAAAGAAAACTCATAACTTTAAATCAATTAGGGGTATTAATGTAGATTTTTTTAGGATATTTAAATTAAGATCTTTCCCCCTTTTTACTCATGACAAATTCAAGTTTAAGGTTTCATTAAAATTAAAACAAAATTTGGTTTGGAAATGTAGAAAATAGGATTTGCTGATTTCAGAACAGGTTTCAAACAAATCTAATGAGTGGCTGTTTTTGAGAAAAAGTAGTTTGAAATATTGACCAAAAAGGATCCTATAGCTTGTCAGGAAAAACCTGCAAAAAGATAAAAAAAACAGCACATCTTTTGGGATTACAGCAAAAATGAAGAAAAAGACCTAAAATGTTTTTGTTTCAAAGAGAGAAGGTTGTAATATATCTTGACTAAAATATGGTTTGGAATAACTGCTGTCACTACAAATTTATTCAATGCAAAATTAATTTTCCATGGAAAATATGCTTTAAGTTTTTCACATATTTGTTTGTCGTCTTCCGCCAATATTTCAAACCTAATTTTATTAAAAACGGTTACCCGTCAGATTTGTTTAAAAGCTGTTTTGAAACCTCTAACCCTATATTTTTCATTTTCAATGTGAATTTAAACTTTTCATGTGTACGAGAGAATTTTTTTTACAGAGAAAAGGGGGGTAATGTCTGTAAAAGTCTGTAAACCTGACTTATGTTGTACATTTTTAATACTAGTAAAGAGATAGATTGTGTCCTCTGACATTGTTCGTAAAGTGATAGATCGTATCCGGATTAACAATGATAGTAAAGCATTGGCATAGATAGATCATGTCCGGAGTGACCATGATAAGAAAGAATTGGTATAGATAGATAGTGTCCAGATTGACAATGATAGTAAAGCATTGGTATAGATAGATAGTGTCCGGATTGACAATGATAGTAAAGCATTGGTATAAATAGATCATGTCCGGATTGACAATGATAGTAAAGCATTGGTATTGATAGATTGTGTCCGGATTAACAATGATAGTAAAGCATTGGTATTGATAGATTGTGTCCTGATTAACAATGATAGTAAAGCATTGGTATTGTTAGAACATGTCCGGATAAACAATGATAGTAAAGCATTGGTATAGATAGATGGTGTCCTGATTAACAATGATAGTAAGTATTGGTATTGATAGATCGTTTCTGGATTAACAATGATAGTAAAGCATTGGTATTGATAGATCCTGTCCAGATTAACAATGATAGTAAGTATTGGTTTAGATAGATCATGTCTGGATTGACAATGACAGTAAAGCATCGGTATAGATAGATCGTGTCCAGATTAACAATGATAGTAAGTATTGGTTTAGATAGATCGTGTCCAGATTGACAATGATAGTAAAGCATTGTTATAGTGTAACGGAGTTCAAAGTGCATATTTTAACAAAGAATGTCAGATCATGGTTGGAATCAATTATTTCTGTATATGGGAACTCTGTTGGGTCTGTAGGGAAACTAAAACTCCTTTTTTGTAAAATTCACAAACGAATGTAACAGATTCTTTAAGAATTGATATTTGTGCTTTTATGAATAGTTAAAATGTATTTATATGTTTGTATTTTTTGTGAACATCCTGTGAGCACTGTGTATTTTTAAGTCTAGACTCAAGGTTAAGGTTACGCCTTAAACCTAACGTTTAAATCTTGGAAAGATGATATTATCAGTTGTAGCTAATCCTTGAACAGCTCCGGAGTTCTAAACCAACTCTGTACCATCAAAAGGGGATTTTATTGATATTCTAAAATCAGAATAGAGTTATCATTTTCGGACCAAGTCCCGAACCAGAAAGTCCGTCTACACCTGCAGCTTCTAGCAGCTCCCTTCAGAAGCAGCCTTCTACTGTTCTGCTCCTGACAGCTCTAAAGGTTCATCTACACCTACAGCTTAAAGCAGTTCCATACAGAAGCAGCATTCTACGGTTCTGCTCGAGACTGCTCCCTGTTCTGAAGACTCATCAATTCCAGCAGTTTAGAAGCTCCCTAAATCCCCCCACAGAAAGTAAAAACGATCCTATATATTCCGTAACAAGTTTTTACCAATAAACATTTTTCAACCCCCACCATGTATCATTTAGTTGGACCTAAGGTTTAACAATAGATAGATTGTTTCCGGATTAACAATGATAGTAAAGCATTGGCATAGTTAGATCGTGTCCAGATTGACCATGATAGTAAAGCATTGGTATAGATAGATTTTGTCCGGAGTGACAATGATAGTAAAGTATTGGTATTGATAGATCGTGTTGGGATTAACAATGATAGTAAAGCATTGGGATTGATAGATCGTGTCTGGATTGACAATGATAGTAAAGCATTGGTATTGATAGATCGTGTCCGGATTGACAATGATAGTAAAGTACTGGTATTGATAGATCATGTCCAGATCAACAATGATAGTAAAGCGTTGGCATAGATAGATCGTGTCCAGATTGACAATGATATTAAAGCATTGGCATAGATAGATTGTGTCCGGATTAATAATGATAGTTTAGCATTGGTATAGATAGATCGAGTCAGGATTGACAATGATAGTAAAGCATTGGTATAGATAGATCATGTCTGGATTGACAATGATAGTAAAGCATTGGTATAGATATATCATGTCCGGATTGACAATGATAGTAAAGCATTGGTATAGATAGATCGTGTCCCGATTAACAATTATAGTAAAGCATTGGTATTGATAGATCATGTCCAGATTAACAAGGATAGTAAAGTATTGGTATAGATAGATTGTGTCCGGATTGACAATGAGTAAAGCATTGGCATAGATAGATTGTGTCCGCAGTGACAATGATAGTAAAGCATTGGTATTGATAGATTGTGTTGGGATTAACAATGATAGTAAGGCATTGGTATTGATAGATTGTGTCTGGATTGACAATGATAGTAAAGCATTGGTATTGATAGATCATGTCCGGATTAACAAGGATAGTAAAGCATTGGCATAGATAGATTGTGTCCGGATTGACAATGATATTAAATCATTGGCATAGATAGATCGTGTCCAGATTAACAATGATAGTAAAGCATTGGTATAGATAGATCGAGTCAGGATTGACATTGATAGTAAAGCATTGGTATTGATAGATTGTATCCAGATTAAAAATGATAGTAAAGCATTGGCATAGATAGATTGTGTCTGGGGAGTAAAATAATGGTAAAGCATTGGTATAGATAGATTATTTCCGGATTAACAATGATAGTAAAGCATTGACATAGATAGATCGTGTCCAGATTGACAATGATAGTAAAGCATTGGCATAGATAGATTGTGTCCGGATTAACAATGATAGTAAAGCATTGGTATTGATAGATAGTGTCCGGATTAACAATTATAGTAAAGCATTGGTATTGATAGATAGCGTCCAGATTAACAATGATAGTAAAGCATTGGTATAGATAGATTGTGTCCGGATTGACAATGAAAGTAAAGCATTGGTATTGATATATCATTTCCAGATTAACAATGATAGTAAAGCATTGGTATAGATAGATTATTTCCGGATTAACAATGATAGTAAAGCATTGGTATAAATAGATTGTTTCCGGATTAACAATGATAGTAAAGCATTGGTATTGATAGATCGTGTCCGGATTGACAATGATAGTAAAGCATTGGCATAGATAGATTGTGTCCGGGGAGTGACAATAATAGTAAAGCATTGGTATAGATAGATAGTGTCTGGATTAACAATGATAGTAAAGCATTGGCATAGATGGATTGTGTCCGGATTAACAATGATAGTAAAGCATTGGTATAGATAGATCGTGTCCAGATTAACAATGATAGTAAAGCTTTGGTATTGATAGATTGTGTCCGGATTAACAATGATAGTAAAGCACTGGTATAGATAGATCGTTTCCGGATTGACATTGATAGTAAAGCATTGGTATAGATAGATCGTTTCCGGATTGACATTAATAGTAAGCATTGGTATCGATAGATCGTGTCCGGATTGACAATGATAGTAAAGCATTTGTATTGATAGATTGTGTCCGGATTGACAATGATAGTAAAGCATTGGTATAGATAGATTGTGTCTGGATTGACAAGGATAGTAAAGTATTGGTATAGATAGATTGTGTCTGGATTGACATTTGTTATTGAACTAATTAGTTCATATGCATCGTAGACCAACAAGAGGGATTGAGTTATGTCTGAAGTATCTTTAAAATCAATTAAATTTTAAGCTTAATTATTTTATAAAAGGTCAGTGATATTGACATGGTCCCAGCGAGCTACAGAGATTTTGGGTCTGGTAATCCTGATTATTGCCAGCAAATTTGTGAAGCTGAAGCCGAATGCCAGGTAAAAAGCTCATTTTTTTCAAATTGTAAAACTGGAGCTTAAAGATAAAAGTTTTTGATTAAATGATGAAGCAACATCGAGAATCAATCTGCTCAACCCTACGCTGATTGGGCTATTTTGAACAATATCTTTAATTTTGCCCTGAGAGTTAAGATAGGGGATATGTGTGATAAATGTCCCTAGTCCAACTTTTAAAAGCCTTTTCATTTAAAAATTATACCTCTCTCTTTAATGGCTAGGGTGCAAGAGAGGATTTTCAAAAAGTTCAAAATGAATATTTTTGCTTTTGACAAATATTTACAAATATTAACAACCCTACCCTCTGCATAAAAAAAAATATGTAGCAAAATTTTTTCACAACTGTGAAGCTTCAAAGTGAAAAAGTTTTAGCTCTCTAATGTCAGTCTTTTTTAAGTTATTTAGAAAAAAACACAGCCCCCCCCCCCCCTTATTGTGATAGGGTTAATCAAGGTTTATATTTCTTTGTTGTTTAGGCTTGGGTTTGGAAGTATAAAGTATTTCCACCTGGTATGTATTGTTGGTTAGTTAGGGATGAACCGAGATTTTCAGCGGGCGCAGACACAGCTGGATTCAAGTCAAGCTATATCAATGTACCATTTGCATAAACAAATCATTAATCGCATAATGGGAATTAAGAAATTCCAAATTCAAATTCTATGCAATAAATTTAACTTTTAACTGCGCTCACGAAAATTGTGCTCAAAGACGATCTAAAGATTGCCTAAATCCTAAGTTTATTCATATAGGACACCCTGTTTTCTGATACTCAATTTCTAGATGTATTGAAAAAGCACTTTACTTTAGACATTTGACAATAACAAATCTGTAGGCTGAGTTTTAGAAAATTGCACATGCTAGTTTTGTAACTTTTTCTTTAATTAAATAATAAATTGCTTCATAGTGTAAACATGGTTGTTTACAAATTCTATCTTTCTATATATTATAATGCTCTTTGCTCATGTATGTATGTAACAGTATGTTAGCTATACGCTAACTGACCAAACATCTTGAAAAAATTGAATGATTTTGGTTTAAGGGAAGGCATGGGTGCACAGGGGATAAACATAGGCTTGTTAAAAATATGTTTTCTTAATTTTACAGCAACGCTTGGCATGTACTTAAGCTGGTAATAGCATGAACTATAATTTATTTTTTCAAAGGAATCGAGTCTTCGTCTCAAACTCTGATTTTCTAATTCCTATATCTTTTCAGTCCAATGTTGTAGACATTTGACATTTCAAACTATGACTTCTGTTAGATCAAATAATATAAGTTTGAAATATCAAAGGTTTACGACATAGGGTTCAAAAGATATAGGGATTAGAAAATCTGAATTTGTGGCAAGGACTCAATTCCTTTAAAAGAAAATTCCATTTTAATGAATCCATACAGAGTAAGGTTTCTTAATAATTTTTCATAACAAGCAAACAGTAGCAATAACAAAAACAAGAACAACTACAATAATAATAACAATAAGAAATAATAATAACGATAAGAAATAACAATAGCAATAACAAAAAGAATAACAATAATAGCAACACTAAGAATAACAATAACAATACCAATAATAATAACAGTTAACAATACCATTACCAATACCATTATCAAAAACAGTAAAAATAATTATAACAATAACAATATAAAAAACAATACCATTACCAATAACAATGACAATAACAATAACAATAATATTACCAATAACAATAACAATAACAATAACAATAACAATAACAATATTAATAACAATAACAATAACAATAATAATAAAAATGACAATAACAATAACTATAACAATTATATGTTACGAAGCTTGCTGCGTATATATGAACAAAGACCAGACATTCCAACATTTTAACTTTCAAACATAATCCTGGGGCTAAGACCCACCTGTTCCCTTGTTTACTAAAAAAGCAGATGATTCCGTATTGAAAATACATAAAACAGAAAATCATCAAAATTTAACATTTGTTAAAAAATACTGAAAGGGATAAAAAGCGCACAAATTATATTTTCATTTATAATATATTTGTGATATTTACTAGAGTTGGAACACAAGACCTGAAGGTAAAAAAAAAAAAGGCAACTTCAAGCCTGAATCTTCAAATCTTTAGCAGTTGAATACGAGACTCAAGAAAAGAAGTATTCCAAAAATCTGGTCACCAAATTAAGCCCCTTTAAAGCACCGTAAAAACTAATTTCTTGATTATAAACTTCATAAAAACCATATTTCTATTGAGAGGTACAAACCTCACATATAATCACAATAGCAATAACAATAACAAAAATGATATTACTAAAAATAAAGATGATAACAATAACAAAACAATAACAATAACAATAACATTAACAATAACAATAACAATAACAATAACAATAACAATAACAATAACAATAACAATAACAACAACAATAATAATAACTATAACAATACTAACTACTAAAAGGGAATAGGGAGAGGGGGGGAGACATGTAACCCTAATCGACATGGGGACAGGGGGAGGAGCAAATGTCTCGGTGAGATGTGGGATATATGATACAGGAAGTATTAAGTCCCTGTATTCAGGATATTTATTATATATTAACTACGAACAAAACCTTTCACACATATTTTATTAAAATATAGTTAGAATTGTTAATGCTAGGGTTCTCCTGTATTAATTCTGATTTTAAAAAAATCATAGTGAATTCTGTAATATAGATAATTGCTTCAATTTATTTAACAGTAAATTTAGATTAATAAATAAAGGTCCAATATTATTCTCATTATTTCGAATTGTTAACAACATATATGATTTAGTTATCAACAACTTCAGTTATGTTTTCAATGTAGTTAAATTGTAAGTATATCCATTTTCGTCATACCTGTTCTTGTATATGTACTACTTTCTTTGACAACATTTGTGAACAAATGTAAATATTGTTTTTTTGATGAATTGTGTAGGGTGAAGAACAGTCTAACGGCGGGTGATTAAAAAAAGAAAATGCAACATTCCCTGAATGCGTGTAATGTATCTTCAAAGCAGGATTTACTAGTGGACATATGGGACCCGCTCATCGAACCTAGAGGAAACGAACCTATTGAGTTTTCAACCTAACGTTTTTCCGATCTAAAACTCTGTAGGTTCGATAAGTTGTTTTTAAGTGAAGGGGGGGGGGGAAGTTATGTAAGAATCTTTTCATTCTTAAATAACTCATAATGATTAACGGACCTTGAATCGACCAAGCAAAATATTTCCTTTATAGATTATAAGCTCGGTTCGGATTTTCCGATAGGAAGCTCAAGAAATATATGGACTTAAAATCCAAAACCATGAGAATTTAAATGTAAACCAATAACAATCTTGATGTGGTTTCTATATATAAATAAGTAGATAGCTTCTTCTACTGCTTCTATTATCCAAACTTATTGTTATATTTGAAAGGATACCCACAAAGGAGGGTAACAATACTCTAGTAGTCTTCAACTCACACACCAATTAGAACAAAGTAGTTAAACATTTATATTAAAGAGAAACAAAATGAAGGAATAAATAACTAAAGTCAAAAGACACAGATTTGGCACTCAGTGATGGGTTACTCCTTTGGCCGGATACTCCTTTGCTGGATACTCCTTTGGCTAGATACCTCCTTTGGCTAGATACTCCTTGGCTAGATACCTTCAACATGGTATCTCCTCAGGTCAATTATCCCCTCAGGCAACACATCTCTTCTGGTTCTGATGGAGAGGTAGAGTTGGGAATCCCTACCTAACTCATGACGATCGATTCTATCATCATGCTCCATGTTGATAACTTCAAGGGTGGATGTAAATCCATCCAGAAATGTATATAGGTTGTGGATTGATTCCTAATTCATTCAACTCAAGCTCAAACTTTATCATCAGTTGAGAACTGTACATGCAAACAATAATGAGTTAACCCGTTAATCTGCATCTCTTACTGAGGAGGATAAGAATTTTCCATGCTCTGTACCCATCCTCAGCAGGGAGGGGTTTAGATTCTCTAATAAAATTGGTCACTGTTTTTTTATTTATATACAACAATAATTATTTTTTAAATGTACTTTTTTACAAACTTACCTAACAGACAAAATCTATCTGATATTCAGTGAAACCTAGCGGTTATTTAAGAAACTAAATTATCAGATCTTGCCTATCTGACCAATCAGAGATTATGTTGGTCAAGGGTGCTCACAGTTTGACCAATCAGAGACTAACTACTTAGTATAATAGACAGAGCAATAGGGTAAGGTGAAGAAAGCCCGAGGAGAGGGGGAGGATGGGGTGGGTTTGGGGGCTAGAGTTTATTTAATGAAATTGGTAAAAGACTTTACCGATCTCTGCAAGATGAACAGTGAAGACGGACAAGTTTACTCTGTTTGTATACTGTAATATTCTTGTTTTACTAAGTACACTATAAATTAAAAAGTCGTAATTAAGCGAGAAAAAGTCGCCTATAAATCGGGTGAAAGAGTTGGATGGCAGGCATCGGCACCCGATTAGGCGACATATGATCGCTTAACATAAATCGCTTATTTTTAAAAAAAATCGCTTTATTTCAACAAAAAAATCGCTTATATTCCAGAAGAAGTTGGTGACTGCCAAATACGTGACAAAAAATCGTTTATTTCCAACAAAAAATCGCTTATTTTTAACAAAAAAAACCGCTTATTTTTAACATAAAAAAACGCTTATTTTTAATAAAAAAACGATTATTTTTAACGAAATGGCTTATTTAAAAAAAGTTTTAATTAAACCAAAAGATCTCTTATCTTAAAAAAAGACTTGTTTATTTTTAACAAAAAAACGCTTATTTTTAACAAAAAAACGATTATTTTTAACGAAATGGCTACGTTTTAAATCCAAAAGATCTCTTATTTAAAAAAAAACTTGTTTATTTTCAACAAAAAAAATCGTTATAATTTAACCAAAAAATTCTCTTATATTAAAAAACTCCCTTATTTTCAATAAAAAATCATTTAAATTTAACCAAAAATCGCTTATATTCAACAAAAAACTCGCTTATATTCAACAAAAAACCCGCTTATTTTCAACAAAAAAATTGTTAATATTTAACAAAAAAATCAATTATTTAAACAAATGTTTATTTTTTCCCGTGTACACTTTACAGTACATAAAGAATTGTAGAGTATGTAAAGTTTAAAAGTTATTGAAAAATTTGAAAGTTAAACAATATAGTCAACACATAAAATAGTTTACAGTACATTAAGAATTGTACAGTATGTCTCAAACTTTTTAGTTTAAAAGTTATTGAAAAATTTGAAAGTTATATAATAAAGTCAACACTCTAAATCTTTTTAGTTTAGTATATATTGCAATAGATAGTTCAACCTCATCTGAGTACAGAATGATGTGAATCCACTCCAAAGCATAACAAGTCAATTTTTTTTAGTAATACTGAAACGGATATCTTTCTTACACTCTTTTAACGTTCTTAGCACAAATTATCTAAACCCTATATCTTTGCAAGCTAAGGATGAAACCTTTGACATCTCAGACTTAGAATTATTGATCTAACAGAATTCATTGTGTGAAATATCTTAAGTCTACGACATGGGATTGCAGAAATATAGGGTTTAGAAAATCAGAGTTTGTGATAGAACCTTGGTTCCATTTTTAAGTGTCCTTATAACTTGTCAGGATAAAAAGGAAAAATAAATCCTGGGGCTTTTATTACAAATTTTATCATCAGTGCTTATGATCCAGATCCGGATCCGTTGGATCTGAGAGATTTTGGCTTCCTGGATCTGGATTCAGATCCGCAAAAATATGTGGATCCACGGATCCAGATCCAAGGGGTAAATATCAACCAAAAACTGCCAAAAAAAAGTTTTATACTCCTAAAACCCTAATCTGAACTATTAAAAAAAGAGAGATTATAAAAATTT